GCATTAATGCATCTTATAATTCTCACCAGAGAAGTTTTCTAATGTAACAAATGGTGATTAACACATAAATCCATAACTGGCCAATGTACACAGAACAAGAGGCTGCAGAGTGTTGATCCCTAAATAAGACACTGTATTAGTCAGGGTTCTCCAAAGAAACAGAACCAGTAGAATGAATACATATGGATTTATCAGCTTAGCTCATAAGATAGAGTCTGAGTAGTCTAACAATGGCTGCACCACACTGGAGAGGCTGAGAATCCATAGTCACTCAGTCCATGAGGCTGGATGTCTCAGTAGTTCCAATCTGGCACTGAAGGTCTGATGAATTCCAAAAGATCAGCTATTCTTCTGTCTACAGTAGCAAGACAAACTCACCAGCGAGAGAGTAGGCAAGCAGCAAAAAGCAAAAAAAAAACGTTCTCCTCTTCCATGGCCTTTTATACGGGCTGCCACCAGAAGGTAACGGCCACATTTAGGGTGTATCGTCCAGCTTCAGATGATCCAATTAAGAAGATCTCTCTCATTTCAGTTAATCCCAGATCCAGTCAAGTTGACACCCAGGATTAGCCATCACAGACACCTATACCAAATTTCTGCCTCCCTAGGTTCAGGGATCATTTCGGAAGAGAGGGTGGAAAGATTCTGAGTCAGAGGTGGTGGATGACCACAAGGAAATAGTTTTCCAGGTAGCTCGTCAGTTACTCATATGAATGTACAGGAAGGATGACAGCACGCACAAGTCCCATGAAAGCTCAAATCAGAAAAAAAAAATTCCAGTATAGACATGGGGAAGGGGGTAAGACATTCCAACCCCACCTCAGGAAACTGCAGTAACAGATGGCTGCTGAGAGGGGCAGAGACAGATTCCAGCACCAGACTCTTGGTAGGTTAACCAGGCTGCAGTGGATGAACCCACACTGAAGGACATTTGGGGATACAAATTACTCTATAGGCCTTATATATAATAGAAGACAGTTAATTGGGTGGGGGAGCAATAAGTGGAGGTGTGGATAGGGGAGGGTATCTAAATATTGTATGAAAATTACAAAAATTCAATTAAAAAAGGGGTGTCTGGAGAGATGGCTCAGTGATTAAGAGCACTGGCTGTTCTTGCAGAAGACTCAGGTTTGGTTCCTAGCACCCATATGGCAGCTAACAACCAATGATAATTCTAGTTCCAGAGGATCCAAAGCCCTCTCCTGGACGCTGCAGACACTGGATGACACTGGCACACTTACATACATCCAGGCTCATACACATACACCAAAGAAAAAAATTTTTTTAAAGATTCTGTGGGACTGGAGAGATGGCTCAGAGGTTAAGAACACTGGCTGCTCTTGCAGAGGACCAGGGTTCAAGTCCCAGGACCCACATAGCAGCTAACAACCGTCCATAACCCCAGTTCCAGGATATCTGATGCCCTCTTCTGACCTCTGCAGGCACTGCATGACATGGGTGCACCTACCTACATACAGGTAATACATTGATTTTTGTTTTGTTTTGGTCTTTTTGAGACAGGGTCTCTCTGTAGCCCCAGCTGTCCTGAAACTCACTATGTAGACCAGGCTAGCCTTGAACTCACAGAGATCTGCCTGCCTCTGCCTCCTGAGTGCTGGGATTAAAGGAGTGGGCCACTACACCCAGCCCAGGCAATACATAAAATAAATATAAATATCTTTAAAAAACATTTTATAATATCATAGAAAAATGTATAAGCAAAAATAACAGGCTGGGAAAGGGAGAATATGCCTTTAAACCCAACACTCAGGAGGCAGAGGCAGGTGGATCTCTGTGAGATCGCAGCCAGCCTGGTTTACACAGTGAGCTCCAGGCCAGATGGGGCTATAGGGCGACCCTGTTTCAAAAAAAAATTGGGAGCTGGAGATGGTTCAGTGGTTAAGAGCATTGGCTGCTTTAGCAGAGGACCCAGTTCCCAGGACTCACATGGTGGCTAACAACTGTTTGTAACTCCAGTTCTAGGGGATCCAACACTCCTTCTGACCTCTGTGGGCACTGTATGACATGGGTGCACTACATATATGCAGGCAATATACTCATACACATATAAAAATAAATAAAAATTTAAAAAATTATGCATATGAATAAAATTATAGCTGTCCTGGAACTCACTATGTAGACCAGGGTGGCCTTGAACTCACAGGCCACCTTGAAATCACCCGCCTCTGCCTCCTGAGTGCTGGGATTAAAGGCATGCACCACCGCGCCCGGCTGAATAAAAATATTTTTAAGTAGAGATACAAATGGAAAAAAACTCTATCAGGCAACAAATAAAAATACTAACAGTCAACTTAGGTATAAATATTTTCCTTCTCACATCAATCTCTATCTCGACTAGAATATCTATGTTTTCCTAACAACAACACAAAATCTACTTACAGCTTGTGAGATGGCTCGATGGGTAAAGCACTTGTCATGAATGACCTGAGTTGACCCTCAGAACCCTTGGTGGAGGAGACTCCCAAAAACTTGTCCTCTGACCTCCACATGCATACTGTGGCATGCTGTGCCCGCAGTCACACACACATTACACATACACACAACAATAGTAAACTATTTAAAAACATTTTTTAAAAAGAACCACTTGACCACCACCTAACTCACCTTTCTGGTCGGTGCACTGAGAGTTGGAAGTAATTCTTTGCCATTTCTAGTCTTTCCTGGTACTGAGTAGAACCTTCTAGCAGTCCCTTAGGAAAAAAAAAAATCACCATGGTCTATCAGAACAGTACTTACATGATGCCATTAAAACCTGAAGAAAGCAGTGTGTGTGTGTGTAACACTCAGGAACTCAGAGGCCCCAGTGCTAGCCTGTGTTTTTTCATTCATAGACCTAAGTGGACTCCAGTTTCCTCAAAGCAGGGGACTGGGCTAGATGCAACATTCCTAATTCTTTTTACCATTCAGGAACTCTTCCTATTCTGGAAGGTTTTCTACCAATTTATTTATTTATTTCTTAACATATAATTGACTAATTAGTAATAATTTCTAAGACAAAATACAGAAAGTTTGCCAAACAGAATCAAAAATAGCATAATCCCACAATAACATCCATGTCTACATTCTACATACTTATTTACAAGACGCCCAACATCAGCCTCTGGCCTCCACACAAAAAAGCTAGTGTGTGTACACACACACACACACAGTGTACTACAAGTCCTACCTTAAAGTAATCATTCTTCTTCAGACTTTCAAGGAAACTGGCCCAGAGTGGTGAGGTAGTCACAAGGGATTTCCTGGATTCAGAAAAATGTGGGCTACATTTGGAGCATAAAATCTCAAATCCATGAGCCTAGATGACAGAGACAGAATTTTTACAGTTACTTTTTAAAAAAGATTTATTTTTATTATTTTAAATTATGTGTATGTGTGGGTGTGGGTATGTGCAATGAGAGCAGGTGCTGAGGGAGCCAGAGCTGGATTCGGTCTCTTGGAGTTATAAATGGTTATGAGCTGCCCAGTGTGGGTGCTGGAAACCAAACTCCTCTAAAGAGCAGTAAGTGCTCTTAGTCACCAAGCCATCTTTCCAACCCCTTATTAAGTTACTTTTCTATTTCCTTTTTCTGTATCATCTTAAATCACTTTCTTTCCATTTAATCACACTTTAAGAACTAGGTTACTAGACACATGGGCATGTGGACACTTAGAACACTTTAAAAATTTTTTTGGGGGGGGTGTCTTTTTTGAGACAGGGTCTCCCTGTAGCCCCAGCTGTCCTAGAACTCACTATGTAGACAGGCTAGCCTTGAATTCGGAGATCTGCCTGCCTCTGCCTTCCGAGTGCTGGGATTAAAGGCATGTGCCACCATGCCTGGCTGAACACTTTAAATTTTAAGAAAAATAATCTAGTTCTGAGTTGGCAATATAGTTCAGTGGGTTAAAGGTGCTCACCACTGAGCCTGATGACCTGAACCCCAGAACCTACACAACGGGAAAGAACCAACTCCTGAAAGCTGCCCTTTTATCTCCACAGGAGCAGAGTAACACCTGTCAGAGCACACATATAGATACAATAAATAAACACTTTTAGGGTTTTTAATTTAAATTTTATTTTTATTTTATGTGTATGACTATTTTTCCTACTTGTATGTAAGTGTGTGCAATGACCTGGGTTCAGTTCCCAGCACCCACTCCAGTTCTAGGGGATCTGACACCCTCTTCTGGCCACTGGGGGCATCTCGTGACACAGGCACACTTACATACATGCAGGCAAAACACTCATACGCATAAAATAAATAAATTTTTTTAATTGGAAAAACAAAAAAATAAGGGCCAGTGAGATAGCTCAGCTGGTAAAATGCCTGCCACCAAACCTGATGACTTTCTTTAGATTCCTGGAACCTACCTGGTGGAGAGAACCAACTCCCCCATATTGTCCTCTGACCACATGCACACCACGGGGGGCATACCCTCCAATGAAATTTATTTATTATTTTTATTTTATGCATATGAGTGTTATGCCTGCATGTATGTAAGTGTACCCACGTCATGAAATGCCTGCGGACATCAGAAGAAGGCCCTTTTATCTCCACAGGAGCAGAGTAACACCTGTCAGAGCACGCATATAGATACAATAAATAAACACTTTTATTTATTTTCAGATTTCCTGGAACTGGAGTTACGGACTAGCTGTCATGTGGGTGCTGGAAATCAAACCTGGGTCCTCTACAAGGGCAGTCAGTGCTCTTAAATGCTGAGCCATCTCTCTAGCCTCAAAATGAAATTTTTTTAATTTAACAAAAAATTAAAAACAAATAAATTGGGCATAATCTCAGATATAGGAAATGGAGATAATAAATTTTTATAATTTCATTTTTTATTTTATTATTTCATTTTATAATAAGATATAAGACAACAATATGGTTGAATCATTCAAACAGAAGCTTCTTTGGTCCCTCTGGAGGACACTGTTATCAACTTTTTGCATCTCCTTTCAGAAATAATCTGTTTACTCAAGTAGTCTCTGTGCGTGTCACTCGACAGCAGCTTTCAGTCTACTTGGTACTTAGCCCATGTTCTGTGGAGAGAATTTCACAGCAGTACGCATCAATATATCTCCCTCACTTCATGAACAGGCTGCAGTTGACCTTAGCTTTCTCACACTACTGGCATTTGGGTAGTTTCTAAGCTTTTGTTACTACTGACAATGCTGTCTGGAGTATAGTTGTTACATGTCTTCTGCACATGGAACATACATAGGAAATCACTTCTAGAAGGAAAAATGATAAGGAAAAAAGGGCTGGTGCAATTTAAATGTCGATGGATAGAAGGAAATTATCTTCTACAAGGATTGAACCAAATTACACTTCTATCAACAAGTTCAAGAATATCTTTCTCAGACTGGAGAGATGGCTCTGTGGTTAAGAACACTGGTTGCTCTTGCAGAGGACCTAGGTTTGGTTTCCAGCACGAATATGGCAGCTAACAACCATCCGTAACTCCAGTTCTAGGGGATTGGACACCTTCTTCTGACCTCTGTGGGCATTGTACCACACGGGTGCACTTATATACATGTAGACAATATACTCATACACATAAAATAATAAACTTTTAAAAAATATTTGTCCCCCATATATATATATATATATACACACACTTACCAACCCAGCATATTATCAACCACATTTTTTTTGATACTTGCCAATCTAATGATGAAAAGCACTATTTTGTAGCTTTAAATTAATTTACTTATTAAAAACAAGGGACAACATTTTTCATGTCTTAATTAAAATTCATTTGTACTTTCTTTTCTGTGAACTACCTGTTCAGCTTCTGAACATTTTAAATTAGTTAGTGTCCTTTCCCAGGTGAACTTATAGGAGCACCTGGTGTTCTTTACTCTTTCTCCTGTCTCCTGGTGTCTTGAATTCATGAAATTTTTCTTTTCCATGCAGATGTTTTTCTTTTTTTTTCTTTTTTGAGATGGAGTTTTGCTATCTTGTCATCTAGGCTGGGCTCTAATTTCTGGGCTCTAGCTGGGATGACAGATGTATACTGTACTTGGCTAGAAATTTTTACATAATCAGATTCATCAATCGTCTCCTGCATTGCTTATGGTTACAAATCATACTTCAAAAGGTCTTTCCTATTAAATGATGAATTTTCCTTTTCTCTCTAATTTTATAGTTTTACCTTTTATATTTAACTACTTAATGCAAATGGAATCTGAAAAAAGTATGAAGGAATCAACTTTAATTTTCATATGGCTTCTTGGTGATCTGATCACTTTTTATTGAGTAATTCATTCAGAGAACTGATATGAAATGACACATTTTATTACATTGTCATAAGCCAGGCATATTTCTAGACTTCCTATGCTGTGTCATTATTCATAGAAGCCACATTTCTAAGGAGAAAATGAAAAGCAAAACGATCTGTGCAATTTAAATATTGACGGAAATTGTTTTCCACAGGGACTAAATTGATTTATATCTCTATCAATACCACTCGAGTGTCTTTTTCTTCATATATTCTTTTTTCTTTTTTCCTTTTTGGTCTTTTTGAGACAGGTCTCCCTGTAGCCCCCGCTGGCCTGGAACTCACTATGTAGACCAGGCTGGCCTTGAACTCACAGAGATCTGTCTGCCTCTGCTTCCCAAGTGCTGGGACTAAAGGAGTCAGCCACCATGCCCGGCTTCTTCATATATTCTTAATGGTCTTTCACATTAAAAATAGAAAGAGAATTTTCTGGTTCAACATTACCAACTTCATGCCCAATTCATGGGCTCGGTACTGGGGATGTGATGGAGGTGGCAGCCCATATCCACTCCGCCGGTCTGGTACAAACCTCTGCTGTACCAGCTGTGCATACAGACATTTAGTGAAAGTGACCTGGGTATTGAGACACAAGATACATGAGTCTTTTCCTGAAACAGAATTTTGAATCTCATTTCATAGCTAATTCTAACAATAAGCACACATGATCTTCCTAGTCATATAGTCATGGGTTAAATGCAAAAAGGAACCAATAATGTCTTCATCTATATGCTGCGAAATTGACTCTACTGCCTTCTTCTAAGTTGTCAATAGTGGAATTATTAATTACATTATAGCAATTTGGGATGGGAGTAGAACGTAATAATTCTTAAGAGATGAACTGTTTTATTGTTAAGAAGAAAATGATTTTAAAAGTAGGGAAAATATGGACAAAATAGGTAGGAAATATTGAGCTGTAAAATGAGGAGTGGAGGGCTGGCAAGATGACTCAGTGGTTGGAAAGGCCCTTGCTGCCAAGCCTGAGGACCTGAGTTCAATCCCTGGGTTCCACATGATAGAAGAGAGAACTTCTACAAGTTGTCCTCTGATAAACACACATTTACACACAAAACAAATAAATAAATAAATGTAAAATAAATAAAACAAGAAATTGAGTCTCTTAAAAACATCATCCAGTCTCTTAAAAATGTCCTCCATTGGGTGTTAAAAAGAAAAACATGCAAGCAATACACGCATACACATAAAATAATAATAATAAAATTTAAAAAGAAAAAGAAAAAAGTGCATTAACTTTCTATAAGAAAGAGAACATTGCAATTTTTCCTAAAGAACAATTAAAATAATTAGCTAAACTAAATCAAGAAAGGTATCTTACCGATGTCATTACTCGTGTTTCAGGCAAAAATGTCTTGAAAACACGACAGGCTCGCAGGTCAATAGGGTCCCGTAGGTAGAAGGCTTGGACCCCTGCAGCCACCAGTCTGGGCCTTTGCTTTAGTATGGCCACAATGCCAGCTGGAAGGAAGCAGTGTGCTCGATGAAGGGAGCCTTGAATTTTTTCTGGGTACCTGTGACAGGTAGCATAATTGTTTTTATTTTATATGTAAATATCTAAAGTTCTTATATTACACACTTCCTCTTTAACCTCTTACATTGTCTTGTCCTTAAGAATGAGCAGAAAGTGATAGGAAAGGTAAAACAAATACTGTATATACTTTAAGATTATAGGAACAGGGGCTGGAGAGATGGCTCAGTGGTTAAGAACACTGACTGTTCTTGTAGAAGACCCGGGTTCGAGTCCCAGCACCCACATGGCTGCTAACAACTGTCCATAACTCCAATTCCAGGGGATCCAACAGCTTCTTCTGTCCTCCACAGGTATTGCACAATATGGGTGCACTTACCTACATGCAGGCATAACATTCATATACATAAAATAAAAATAATAAATAAAATATTTCTAAAAAAAAGTTTAAAAAAAGATTGTAGCAACAAAAGGGGGGAAAAAAGTGGGAATAGATTTAAAGGAGGGACAGAGAGATGCTCAGTGGGTAAAGTGCTTGCTGAGTAAGCATAATGACCTGAGCTCGATCCCTGGAGCCCAAGTAAAGTGTTGGAGAGAACTAACTCTTGAAAGTTGAAATCTGTCCTCTGATTTCCGCACATGTGCTATGGTACACATACATCTCCCTCACTTTAAAAAATTTAAAGATTGAAAAAAAAGGGCTTATGACCATAAAAGCAAAACAAACATACTCTGCTACTGGATTCGATGAGTCTAAAAGAGCGAGAGAGGATGCAAAGCTGGGTGGGTAGTGAAGAGTGCTGTGGACTTGGGAGGAGTTGATGGGGGGTGAGTAGGATGCAAATACACTGTGTGAATTTCTGAAAGAACTAATAAAAAAAAGAGAAAGGAAAAAAAGGACAAGAGGGAAAAAACCTGCTGTACTTTGTTTTTATTCTTAAAATAGTATAAATTACACCCAAACAAAGTTCATTATTTCAAAGTGTTCATTATAAAAAAGTCAGAGTTTACTCTAAAAAAAGTAGTATAAATTATACTCAAACAAAGTTTTAAAAATTTTTTAACACTGTTAAGACCTAACGTTGAATGGGTTGAATTAAAATGGTATTAGTACCTTCCTTTTATTTTTTTTCTTTTTTTAAAAAAATAGTTTAATTTACTTTTGTTTTATGTGTATGTGTGTATTGCCTGCATGTAAGTGCACTTGTGTCGTGCAATGCCCATGAAGACAATACCAGTGTTACTTTTCTTACCCTCTGATGCGCCTGTTCACAGCAGCTCGCACAGATTCTGAAGCTAAAACTTCTTCTGGGTGTGCTGGGATTATACTCAAAGCTTGTAGGATTGTGGGGGTTGTAGTGGGTATCCAGGATGCTGCTTCAGATTTCTGTGGTACTGGAATAATGCACAGCTCCCCATGGTAGAAAAACACCTGCAAAATGGCACATCTTAATTCTCCAAGTGGGCTCTGGAAAATCTAGGTACTTAAGAACTAATGCACCACAATGTTAATTTGGTATGTTCTAAGCTGGGGTATACTTACCCTATTGGCACTATTATCAGGATCCAACCATTTAGGGAGAAAATCAGCAGCTTCTATTAACAAGAATTCACCATCATTGTCTTCAATCCTAATGAAGGAGAAGATGCATTTTTGCATTCACAAAGCACATATTTACTAGTTATAAAACAGCTTTAATCTAATACATTTCCCTTCATCTTAGAATATTTTTGAGTATGATTATCTATGTTGTCATAAAAAAGTAAAATTTAGCCAGGCATGGTGGTGCATGCCTTTAATCCCAGCACTCAGGAGGCAGAGTGCTGGGATTAAACACTCAGAACTCTGTGAGTTCAAGGCCAGCCTGGTCTACATAGTGAGTTCCAGGACAGCTGGGGCTACAGGGAGACCCTGTCTCAAAAAGACCAAAAAAAAAAAAAAAAAAAAAAGAGTAAAATTTAAAATATGGTAAAAGCCTAAAAGAGTCGCTAATTGTAAAGAGGAAGAAGAGAGGTTAAGGAGCGAAAAATAAAAGTATTAAATTAGACAAAGAAATATGGGAATACCAGCCAGGCATGGTGGCTCATGCCTTTAATCCAGCACTCAGGAAACTGAGGCAGGTGGATCTCTGTGAGACTGAGGCCAGCCTGGCCTACATAGAGTTCCAGGTCAGCTGGAGCTACAGGGAGGTCCTGTCTCAAAAGACCAAAATAAACAAATACATAAAGAAATAAACAAACAAATAAATAAATGTAAAATAAAGTTCAGAAAATAAAAATAAGCTAAGCACAGCATAGAGAACTATAGTCCAAGCTACTGGAATGCTGAGGTAGGAGAATGGCTTAATCCCAAGAGTTCCAGACCAGTATGACCAACACAGCAAGACCCCATCTAAAATAAATAACTAAATAAATAAATAATAAAAAAGTCTTTATCTATTAGATTTATCACCTGAACTACATAAGGGCCAAATGATACAGCATTGGATACCTGCTTCAAATTAATCTTTCTATGTAACGGAGGATGGAGGAGCAGGGGTCGCACACTGATTGCAGGGCAGGAAGGGTGAGTTGACAATCGATGGGTACACGTCTGCTTCTTCTTTCTACTTTTATATATGTTTTTAATTTCTTTTTTTTTGGTCTTTTTTTTTTTTTGAGACACGGTCTCCCTGTAGCCTCAGCTGTCCTGGAATTCACTATGTAGACCAGGCTGGCCTTGAACTCACAGAGATCTGCCTGCCTCTGCCTCCCAATTGCTGGGATTAAAAGCATGTGCCACCACGCCCGGCTGTTTTTAATTTCAATAATGAAAAGTTTTCAAACTTTTTACCACCTTCTCTTTTGTTCTGGGAAAAAGATTTGTGGGGTTGGTTGCAAATGACAACTAGGACAAAACAAAGTAACGTTTTCACTGCCTTCTGCTGGCACAATAAGGTAATTACAGAGAACTATTTACCCTTTTAAAAACAGAATTAGAATATAACACTATGGGGGCTGGAGGAGCTGGAGAGATGGCTCATGGTTAAGAGCACTGACTGCTCTTGCAGAGGACCTGGGTTGGATTCCCAGCACCCACACGGTGGCTAAGAACCGTCCTTAACTCCAGTTCCAGGGGAATCTGAAGCCCTCTTCTGACCTCCGTGGCATTGCATGACATGGGTGCACTCACATACATGCAGGCAATACACTCATACACATAAAATAAAAATAATAAATTAATTAAAAAAAAACACTATGGGGGCTGGAGAGATGGCTCAGTGATTAAGAACACTGGTTACTCTTGCAGAGGACCCAGGTTTGATTCCCAGCATCCAAACAGCAGCTAGTTCCAGGGGATCCAATACCTTCTCTGACCTCCAAGGGCATTGCATGACATGGGTTCACTTACACACAAGCAGGAAATTTAAAAAAAAAAGAGTACAACAGTACATGTTTTGTTTCCCAAATTGATTTCTCTTTAAATTTCTTCCATGTATGATTTCTCAAAAAATATCAATGGCTCAGTAAAGGGACAAATATTACAGAAATCTGTGAAATCGATATTTCAGAGGGCTGTATGTCAACCAGCTGTCAGGACAAGTGTGCTGAAGATCACTGGGATTGGCTATATATGAGATTCTACAATGACAGGCTAAGAATAATGTACACAAAGATTCTGGGTGTTCTTGATTAAATCTTTAATATACAGCACAGAGCAAATGTACAGAACAGATTAAAAAAGAAAAGCTGGAACCGGGCATGGTGGTGTACGCCTATAGTTTCAGCACTTGGGAGGCAGAGGTGGGCAGATCTCTGTGAGTTTGAGGCCAACCTGGTCTATATAGTTTTCAGGGTGGCTAATGAGAAGAGGTGATTCTTCAGACTGAAAATGAGCTAAATCAAAAATGTTGCAATGGAAACTGCTGGAGCCACTGGTGGAACAGCCTCCTGTCTACCAGGGAAAATGTCTATGATGGGTAACAGGTGTAACGAAATGTTCTGCTAAAAATATGCTCATATATTGCTTCTCTGCTTTTTGGCTAAGACAGTGTAAAACTGTGTCCATATTATTGATAATTTAGAATCAAGAACACAATAAATATTTAGGAGTCTCAATATTTATGAATATATGCATATATTGATATATGTATGTATGATATATATATATATATATATTCTTTTTTTTTTTCTTTTCTTTGTTGAGACAGAGTCTCACTATGTAGCTCTGGCTGAACTGAACTTGCTATGTGGGCCAGGGTTGCCTGGAACTCACAGAGATCTGCCTCCCAAGTGCTGGGATTAAAGGTGTGTGCCACCATGCCCAGCCTATTTTTTTTTTAATTGAACAAGAAAATTTCATGATGATTACTTCTAGAAAACCAGAGTAGTACAGCCTTTTGTACTGTTTTACAATTTTGTTTACCACATGTATTTGCTGTTTCATACGTAGACTTTATTGTTTGTGAAGCAGTGTCTTTTACTATATAACCCAAACTGTCTTGAAACTCAAAAACAGAAAAACCCAAGATAAGTAGGTTTTATTTGAATATTGAGGGAGTGGAATTCTCCAAAAATACCTTCTTCAAGAACAGGAAGCCATACAAGAAGAGAAGGGAAACACACTCACTTTTTAAATCTGCCCCAAATGTAAACAATTTCTAAAAGACCTCAGAAAAAAATTATTAAATGAATAAAAATATAATCATGTACATTTAAAATAATAAAATTTCCCTAGAATAATTAAAATAATGATAATAGGGGCTGGAGAGATGGCAGTTAAGAGCACTGGCTGCTATTACAGAGGACCTGGTTCAATTCCCAGCACCAACATGACAGCTAACAACCATCCAAAATTCCAGTTCCAGGGGATCTGATGCCCTCTTCTGACCTCTGCAGGTACTGCACACATGTGGTGTACTTACATACACGCAGGCAAAACACTCATACACACAAAGCAAAAATAAATAAAATATAACAAAAAATAATGACAATACCTTGCTACTAATTCTGGAAATTTCTTTGTAATCTGTTTTATCACATAAACAATAAACCATTCATCTTCAATGTTATCTCCAAACTTTGTCATGCCATACATATGAGCAGGAACACCGCCTATAAATAGGAGAAAAGTAATCATATAACCAGGTTAAGTCTGCTACTTCAAATCAAAATACACATATTCATTCTACTGAAGGGGCCATTGACTGTGCTCCAGGTACTATTCTGGGCGTGTGGGTTGCAATTCTGAAGAAGATATGAAATATGTACTCTTGAGGAGTTTGGGATCTAAAAGAAGGAACAAATAGCCAAATCTTTCTTTCTTTTTTTTTGGTCTTTTTGAGACAGGGTCCCCTATAGCCCCAGCTGGCCTGGAAACGTAGACCAGGCTGGACTTGAACTCACAGAGATCCACCCACCCATCTCTACCTCCCAAGTGCTGGGACTAAAGGTGTGCACCACTATGCCTGGCCAAATCTTTTTCTTTTTAAACGATGATGAGCCCTAGATGAAGGCACTAAAGCCTGCATGAGCACAAAGCAGGCACTTCCTTTACTTTCAGGGGGAATTTTGTCTGCAGAAATGACAGAGGTGGACTTTATAGAAAGAAGGAGCAGCCTGGCCAAAGGCCCAGGGCTATAGGTAATACAGGATTATGGGACTTTAAGGATTCTGTGTTTGGAGGGACAGAAGCTTCAAGCACATGCACCATCCACAAGTAAATGAAAGTTATATAAAATACTTTTATACAACCAATAGTCAAAGAGTAGCTGGGTATGGTGGTGCACACCTTTAGTCCCAGCACTCAACAAGCAGAGGCAGGAGGATCTCTGTGAGTTCAAGACCAGCATGATCTACACAGCAAGTTCCAGGGACAGCCAGAGTTACATGGAGAAACCCTGTTTAATAACAACAATAAGAGAGTCAAAGGTAATCACAGGGAAGTGAAAAAATATCTGGAGACAAATGAAAACAAAACATTCCAAAACTCCTAAGATTTGGAAAAAATAGTGAGAAGTTGCAGTTTATACTTACACAAGATCTCAAATCAGTACTCTAACTTTACACCTCAACAAGCCAGAAAAAGAACAACAAACTAAATATAAATCTAGCAGAAGAAACAAAACAAGAAAGAGTATAACAGGGAAAAATGAAAAGAACTCAGCTGCTGTTTTGGGAAAAAGTCAACAAATGGACAGGCCACTAACAAGATAAGAATAAGAAGCGACTACTAAAATCAGAACGAAAGCAGGGACATCGTAATCTTTCAACAGAAATAGAGATGATCATGAGGGAATCCTGTAAATATCTTATACAAACAGATTGGGATACCTATAAGAAGAGGTCAAAGGCCTAAAAATACACAGCCTAATCCATGTCCTGACTCAATGATAAAGACATAGAAAATACAATCAGATCTGTAACTAGAAAAGAGATTGATCAGTAATCACAAACCTCTTAACAGCTAGGCATGGTCTCTGAGGCAGCTGGAGCAGAAGGATCATGTTTGAGGCCAGCCTGAGCTACACAGCAGAGCCAAGTGATCACAGACTGAAACCTCTAAAACCATAAATAAATAATAAAATATAAAATAAATAGTAAGTAAAACATTAAAAAAAATAAAATTAGCTGAGTATGGTGGTACATGCCTTTAATCTCAGCACTCAGGAGGCAGAAGCAGACAGATCTCTGTGCAATCAAGGCCAATCTCGTCTACACAATGAGTTCTAGGCCAGCTAGGTTACAGGAGACCCCGTCTCAAAAAAAAAACAAAATTAATTAACAGAAATATAAATGGCTGGAGAGATGGCTCAATGGTTAAGAGCGCTGGCCACTCCAGGTTCAGTTCCCAGAACCCACATGGTGGCTAACAAACATCTGTAACTCCAGTTCCAAGGGGTCTGTAGCCCTCTTCTGGCCTCTGTGGGCACTGGGCACAAGGTATACTTGCAGGAAAGACATTCAAATACATAAAATAAAAATAAATGAATAAATTAAAATAAAATATAAATTTTTAAGTTGATTTTCTCAGGTATTTTTTGCTATAGTAATAAAAAGCTAACCAATTCAGCTAGACATTGAAAGCATTATATACCACAATCAAGTGGGATTTATTCCTACACTATAGAGAAGGCTCAACATACAAAAACAAATCAATGACTGTGATGTACCACAGACAGAATGAAGGCTAAACAGTACAAACAGTCTTTCCAGAGCCATCAGAGCAAAAAGAGGCAAGATGATGGGCAGCTTCCTCAACTCTCCTCACACTCCACAACACCCAAGCTTCTTCAGGTAGAGAAGCTGATCAGCATGCTATTTTATCTACACTATATATCAATATTCAGCTTAAATCTTGTCCTGAAACAACGGGAAACTGCTGAAGAATTGTAAGCTGGGAAATACAATCAAATCTGTTTTACAAAGGTGACTGCCAACAGAGTGAGAAACTAAGGAGACAGGCACTAGAGAGCTGAGTTAAACCATCTCTGTAGTCTAGGAACTCAGTGTGAAGTTACTGTAGTTTTCCAGATAAAAGAATTAAAAGCACTACACAGAAATCAAACAGTTGTAGAAAGGGATCATGTCTTAGAAGTGATTGCTCTAGGATTTAGTGCCTGACTGCAACACAGTGAAGGGATAAGCTGAGTATGTCTCTGAAATACTAAGTAGCTCAGGTAACTAGGTAGACACCAATGCCATTAGATAAAGTAAACAAGAACCACATTACAAACATGGTTTTCTAAAGGATAAACAGTGGGTTGTTTTAAGACAGGGTCTTACTACATAGCCCTGGCCTGCTAATTCTCCTGCTTTAGCCTTCAGAGCACTGGGATTACTGGAATGTGCCACCACGTCTGGCTAAAGAGTTTGGGTTTTTTTACTTTATGTGTTTTTAAAGATTTATTTTATTTTTAATTGTATGTGCGTGTGCATGTGAGTACAGGTGCCTGTATGGAGGGGGTATGTGCATGTGAGTACAGGTGCCTGTGTGTGTGGGGCGGTATGTGCTTGTGAGTACAAGTGCCTGTGGAGGAGAGGTATGTGCATGTGAGTATAGGTGCCTGTGGGGGAGGGGTATGTGCATGTGAGTACAGGTGCCTGTGGGGGAGGGGTATGTGCATGTGAGTACAGGTGCTTGCAGAGGTTTGGGATTCCCCTGGAGCTATAGATACAAGGAGTAGTAAGCTGCTCAATGTGGGATCTGGCAACTGAACTAGAGTAGTTAAAGCTATTAACCGCTGAGCTACCTCACCAGCCCAAGGAGATGATTTTAAATGTACCACACTAACTTGATAGTCTCCTTGCCAGTAAACATTACATGTAGTCTAGGGAGTTAGAGTTTAATAAAATTAGGTTTGGGGGTATAGCTCCACTGTAGACTCAGCATATTTTGAACAAGGGTTCAATCCTCAGTGCTGGAAAAAGTTCAATAAAATTAATAGCAAGGGGGACATTTAGCAGTTGCTAGTCAAAGATAAAGATGAGCATTCAACTATGTGCTAGACTGACAGTACTGCAAGATGCCAGCCTCCTGAAACTAAATAGACCACGTACGCCACTGTTTGAATACAACCGTGGACACCTACCTATCCTGTTTTCATAATGACAGAAATGACAGGACAGATAACTATATTTTGCTAGAGATCAGATTGAAAGCCCTAACACAGGGAAGCAATAAAGGAAACCTAAAATGCTTCTGGGTGGCAACCTATAGTCATAAAGCCCAATTATTTTTCTTTATAAACCAGGCAAAGTTAGTCTTAGGTTCTTACAAAACAGCTATGGGAAACAAGGCAAGCTACTAAAGGCATTTTTAACACAAGCATCAAGTAGTAAGGAGAAGCTATGATTAAATAAGCAAGACAAGCCTGAGCTGGTGCAGACTGCTACTTAGATTAGGGCACGGTGATTAAAGTTCAAAACAACAATCATGAACTTAAAATATTTAATATAAGCTATGTCCTAGGAAATGATTACTGGAAAGTTCTTATCAATGATTTTTCTTTTGATAGGCAAACATCACTAATCTAAAAAGTGGAGAATGTCAACCTCTTTCAGGCAACACTGAATGAAGTGTGGACTACTTTACCTTTCCCAGGTATAAATTTGAGATTGAAAGGCTGATTCTGCCAGATATAGGGGACAAGTATAGATGCAAAATGCGTCATTATTCTCTCAATGTACTTCTGAAGAGTCTCTGTGTGCTCTTCTGGCTCCCCTGCTTTATCCGGGATCAGGAACAGGCGGTACTCCACACTGTCTTCTACCACAGCAAACTTCATATTGTCCTCCATTCTTCTTTAAAATCGACATCCAAATTTCAGTAATATAAGCCACAAAGAACAAGTGAAAAACAACATAGCACTCCCCAAATCCTAAGTGACTGTATTATTTTCCAAAAATCTAACAGTCACCTACCATCATCATTGTTTATGCTTTACCATACACCACTTTACTTAATAGTATTCTTTTAATCGCATTTATACTTAGAACTATGTTCCTTATACTCACTATGTTAAAAGGAAACCTTGATATTATAGAATGGAAATCCAGCAATACATTTCCAAGTTAACTAGTAAGTATGTAAGAATAAAATTTTAGATATGGCTCGATGCAGTGGGTGTGCCTGTGGTCTTAACTGAAAGACTGAGGCAGGAGGATCACCTGAGTCCAGGAATTCAAGGCCAGCCTAGGCAACACAGAGACCCCATCTCTTAAATAAGTGCTTGCCCTTAAATTAGTAGCGGTGTGTCAAACACAGTAAGCCCCAACTGTGCCTCTGTTTAGTTGAATATTTAAGTACTTCACTCTCTTTCTGGTGTTTTCTCCTTAACTGTGGAATGTGTTACTCTCCCATCCCTAAAACACCTCATTGACCTAAAATTGAATTAGCAAATGCTCTAAAGAACAATTTCTGGGGTCTGGAGAGATGGCTCAGTGGTTAAGAGCACTGGCTGCTCTTCCAGAGGACCTGGGTTCAATTCCCAGCACCCACATGGTGGCTAACTACGGTCTTTAACTCCAGTTCCAGGGGAACTGACACACTCTTCTGGTCTCCACACCACTCCGGTGCACTTACCTACATGCAGGCAAAACATACATATAATGAAAAATAAGCCAATAAGAGCAATTTCCCTTGCTCTTACAGAATTTAAAATTCTCCCTTTTTAAAACACTGTATGGGCACAGGCCTTTAATCCCAGTTCTTGGGAGTCAAAGGGTGGATCTCTATGAGATCTAGGCCAGCCTGGTCTACATAGTTCCACACCGGCTAGGACTAGAGCCTGTCTCAAAAAACAAAACAAGGGGCTGGAGGGCTGGCCTAGCTGTTAAGAGCATTGGCTGCTCTTGCAGAGGACCCAAGTTCAGTTCCCATCACCCACACAGCAGCTAACAACCATTGGTAACTCCAGTTCCAGGGGCTATGACACCCTCTTTTGACCTCCGTGGGCACTGTATGGCACGGGTGCATTTACATACATGCAGGCAATACACTCACACACATAAAATAAAAATAATAGAAAAATATTAAAAACAAAACAAAACCGGGCTGTAGAGATGGCTCAGCGGTTAAGAGCACTGACTGCTCTTGCAGAGGACAAGGGTTCGATTCCCAGCCCCCACAAGGCGGCTACGAATCGTCTTTAACTCCAGTTTCAGAATCCAAAGCTCCCTTCTGACCTCCGCGGCAATGCACAACACGGGTGCACTCATATACATGAGGTTAATACACTCATACACATGAAATGAAAATAATAAATAAAATATTTAAAAACAAAAAAAACCAAAACAAAGCCAAAAAATATGTATGGTATAGGGGAATTCAAACTGCAAAACAGTGGTGTGCTGCCATCTCATCCCAAAATAACTTGTCATGGTTTTGGATGCCACCTCATGCAGCGACCTGATTCTGAAGCTGTTAAGAAACTTGCATCTTCTATGCAACCAGCCATTCACCCCAGTAAGCAGAATCACCACATGTTGCCAGACGGTTGAACCCACCATCCCATAAAGCCAAGCACAATTCTTGATGTGGAATTTAGTGTCAGAACTGGACTCGAGGTCAATTGGGTAATATTCCACCACACAAACGGCAAACCAGGGAGCACAGAAAGAAACCACCCAGGAGCAGGAGCCTGGGCCTGACCCGGTCCTGTGCTCTTTCATCAAACGAGGCTCCCTTCCTCCACCTGGAAAGGTAAGGCGACTGCTCTTACGGTTCTAGGACCTCTCTGGCACCTTTCCTCAGCCGTCTCTTCCTCTGAAAGTCTTGGTCAGACGCCACCATCAACCACCAAAGCCCGGACTAGGATGGTGCTCCACACCCGCCGGGTCCCTGAGCCTCCAGGGAGAGAGCGCAGAAGCCGCGAGTCCCGGAACCCCGGATGCCAGCACTGCTGAGCACCCGAGCGTATATATGGCCTGTACTGGGCGCCTCCGTCACTTCCGCTCTGGAGAGGAAGTACACTGGGAGGAAGACTTTAGGGTGGGAACTCCGGGAGGTGGCTGTCCGGAATCTAGGCGACGGGGCGAGACGGGGTCGGTAGGTGGCCGGAGGGGCCAGGCCCCGAGACCCCCACCGGGGCTTCTTCGCTCCGGCTGCGGAGGAGGAGGAGGAGGATGATCTCCAGATACACTCGGAAGGCCGTGCCGCAGACTGGGGATCTGTGAGTGACTGCATACCCATGCCATTGTGCACATTTGGAAGTCAGGATCACTTTCTTGATCCTTTTAGCAACTTTGTAAGATGGGTGGGTCTAACAAGCTGCTGATTTACAGATGAAATAATGTTAAACTTTTTTTTTCTTTTGGTCTTTTTGAGACAGGGTCTCCCTGTAGTCCCAGCTGTCCTGGAACTCACTATGTAGACCAGGCTGGCCTTGAACTCACAAAGATCCGCCTGTCTCTGCCTCCCAAGTGCTGGGATTAAAGGCGTGTACCACCATGCCTGTGAGATAATGTTAAACATTTTAAGATTATATTGCCAATAGTGTTAGGAAGTCAAATCCCAATTTCCTCCTCACTGAGCTATGCAATTAGCAGTCATACACTTATTAAATATTTTATTTTTATTTTATGTGTATGAATATATTACCTGTATATATGTAAGTGCACCTGTTGTGCAGCTCCCAAGGAGGTCAGAAGAGGGTGTCAGATCCCTAGAACTGGAGTTACAGATGGTTATTAGCTGCCATATGGGTCGTAGGAATCAAACCCAGGTCTTATGTAAGAGCAGCCAGTGCTCTTAACCACTGAGTCATCTTTCTAGCCCCTAAATATTAACTATATATGCTAGTAGTAATTATTTTAAGTTACACCTGAATTTTTGGATGGGCTCTTTTCTAGCCATGTTAACTTTTACACAAACTGCTAAATTTATATATATATATATGTATATGTGTATATATGTATATGTATATACATATATATATATATATACACACACACAAATACAAATAAACCTATCTAAAAGCCTATCTAAAATGATGGCGTAGGGCTCACACATAGTAGGACCTCAGTAAATGGTAATACTCTGTCTCATACAAAGAAAAAAAAAATCTCTCCTTCCTTTTAGACACATATTATCTATTAAGGAATAGGCTGCCTACACAATTCAAATAATAAGCACCTTGAGGGGGTGCTGGAGATATGGCTCAGGAGTTAAGAGCACTGGCTGCTCTTGCAGAAGACCCATGTTCGAATCCCAGCACCCACATGGCAGCTAACAACGTTCATAACTCCAGTTCCAGGGGATCCAATGCCCTCTTGTACCTCCGAGGGTATTGTACAACACAGGTGCACTTACATACATGCAGTCAATACACATAAAATATTTTTAAAAATAAGCCAAAGAAACAGTCATTTCCCAATGAATTGAGTGGGCTTGACTTTAAAATCCACTTTCATTTTTTTTAATTTAGATTACATTTATTTTGTGTGTGTGTGTTTTGTGGCACACAATGTGGAAGGTCAGAGGACAACTTGGAGGAATCAGCCCTCTCCTACAACTGTATGGATCAGGGAATCCACATGGTAGAAGGGGAGAACCAACTCCTGAAAGTTTTCCCCTGACTTCCAAATGTGCACAATGGCATGGGTATGCATACACAGACACTAGAAATAAATGATGGGCTGGAGAGATGGCTCACCTTTTAAGAACATTTGCTGCTCCTGCAGAACACTGGGTTCAGATTTTAGCATCCACATCAGGAGATCCAGTGCACATACAGAGTGCATATATAGGCAGACACACACGTAAATATATGCGATATACCTTAAAAATGTGAAAAAAAGTATTTTTTCCTGTAGGAAATATGAAATATCAAAATAAAACTTGTTTGTTTTCCCCCCCACAGGAAAGGAATAACAAAGCATGCTCTTAATCATCACCCCCTTCCAGAGCAACTGGATGACATTTCCCCTACCAATGACAGCCATGAAAAAGACACAAGTTCTCAAAGGTAATAACACTAAGTGTTGTTTTGTGCTTATTGCATTTGCTGGGGTTTTTTTTGTTGTTGTTGTTTTTTAACAGAGTCTCTCTAGTTACAGCCCACCTGGAAGTCACAATGTGTACCAGAGTAGCCTCCATCTGCAGAGATCTATCTACCTGCCTCTGCCTCCCAAGGGCTGGGGTTAAAGGCGCATGTCACCACACCCGGCACTTATTGGATTTGCGAATGGCAAAATCTTATGTATTTGGACCAGGCCTTTGCGCCTGAAAACAATTCTGCCTGAAGCAGGACAGTTGCTGGAGGTCAGGAGTTTGAGGCCAGCCTGGGCATGATAGTGAGCCCTGATCTATAAAAAACCAAGCAATCAGTCTGGGTGTGGTGGCGCACACCTTTAATCCCAGACTTGGGAGGCAGAGGCAGGTAGATCTTTGTGAGTTCAAGGACAGCCTGGTCTACATAGTGAGTTCCAGGACAGCTGGGGCTGCAGGAAGACCCTGTCTCAAAAAAAAAAAAAAAAAACCAAACAAAAAAGCAATCCACAGATGTTTTCACTGCCATTTAATTTTCATTCTGGGATGGCTATTGGCAACAACATCACACTTATTTTCACAACCTTCCAGAAGTCAGATTATGAAGGAGTTAAATTGTACTTGAGAGGGATCTGATATTTTAGTCCTATCTTTGCCATTTATTAGCTGAGTAACATTGGGTAAATGAGTAACATCATGATTAATGAAATAGAAAACCAATAGTCATGAGTTGGTACTTTGAAAAATTGTCAGTAATGATAGGCCTTAACACAAATGACAGAACACATGAAATCCAGTGGGGGCCCATGGGTGGTGCCAATGGGGAAGGAGGTATAAAGATGATTAAGATGTTCTGTATGAAATACTCCAAAATTCAATAAAAAAATTTTTTTAATTGTCAGTAAAATTGACAGATCTTTACTTGGTTTGACCAAGAAAAAAGACATTATCAAAATCTCTTCTCTAGTGTCGTGAATATAAATGAAGTGAAGTACATGTAGCTTTATGTTTGACTTGTAGTGAGTGCTGAGTAAGTGATAACCACAGTGACTAAGATATGGAATGAAGAGACCACAGCTTCAGAGAGTTCTGAAAGCAGTATGGATTCAGAAAGCTGTAAAGTCAGAGTCTAGTCTTAAGACCTGGAACTAAAACTGAGATTCTTACTTTTAAAAAATATTTTATTTTTATTTTATGTGTATGAGTATATTGGCTGCTTGTATGTAAAGTGCACCGGATATGTGTAGTGCCCATGGAGGTCAGAAGAGAGCATCAGATTCTTGGAACTGCAGATACTGATGGTTGTTAGCCACCATATGGGTACTGGGATTCAAATCCGGCTCTTAAGCAAGAGCAGCCAGTGCTGTTAAACACTGAGCTCTCTCTCCAGCTCAAGATACTCTGTTTTTTAAAAGGAGTAAGTTGGGTCCTAAATCATCAAGTTATGGTAGCAAGGATTACATGAGATTGATAACTGCAAAAGTACTTGATAAACTGTAAACATATCATCCAAGTTGAGATGTTCTATTAACATTAAAATTAGGTGTAAAGAATGTTATGGAAGAAATAATCATCACAAACTGACTAGATTTAGTACAGCTGCCATCAGCTCTATAGAGATGAAGTAGGACTCTTCCATGATGCTTGAATTTTAAGTTCTATATGTATTTTTGCCTTTACAGATAATTTTTGTACATACTTACATCTGATAAGTTGCTGGGTAGTTAATACTGCAGAAACCTGAGGAAACATGAGAATTTTCTTTTTTTCTTTCTTCCTCCCAAATTGTACATTTAGTGAATCTGATATTACCCAAGAATCACCTTTTATATCAACCGACACCGGGAATTCCAGGTCTGCTTTTCCAAGTTATACAGGCACAGGGATCTCCACAGAAGGCAGCTCGGACTTCTCCTGGGGATATGGTGTGAGTTGATGTTAATCAGTCTGCAGAGTTCTCAGGAGGCTCTTCTGAGAGCTAAGAATTTTCAGTATGTTTCATTTCTTTACTCTCCTGCCTTGCTGGTTTACATTTTAATTCTTTGTGCTTGTGTGTGTATATAATGTGTACATATGTATGTGTACACATATGTGCATGTGGAGGCCAAAGGACAACATCCAGTGTCTTCATTTATTATTCTTCCATCTTATGGTTTGGTTGTTTGCTTTTTAGGACAGGGTCTTGCTATGTAGACTATCCCAGGCTGGCTTCCAGCTCACAGTGATCTGCTGACTCTGCCTTCTAAGTGCTAGGATTAAAGATGTGTGCCACCACACCCAGCTTCACTTTATTTTTTTAATTACAAAAAATTTCAGTGCATGTATGGTACGAGTATATGCGTGTTGGAGGAGGGGCACATATTTGGACGTCAGAGTACAACTTTGTGGAGTTGGTTCTCTCCTTCCACCTTTACATAAGTTCCAGGGATCAAACTCAGGTCATCAGCCTTGAGAATTTCCTTCTGGGCCAGGGCCATCTAACCAGTCTGTCACCTTATTTTTTTGAGACAGGGTCTTTCATTGAACCTAGACTGGCTGGCCAGTGAGCCACTGGGATCCACCTGTCTTCACTCAGCCCTGGGGCAAGATGTGTACCTCCAAGCCTGGCTTTTACATGGGTGTTGAGGATCTGAAATCAGGTTGCCATGCCTGAGCAGCAAGCACTTTACCCACTGAGCTGGATCCCCAACCCTACATTTTAATTTTTTTTAATTTTTTTTTTGTCTTTTTGTCTTTTTGAGACAGGGTCTCCCTATAGCCCCAGCTGTCCTGGAACTCACTATGTAGACCAGGCTGGCCTCAAACTCACAAAGATCTGCCTGCCTCTGCCTCCCAAGTGCTGGGATTAAAGACTTGTGCTACCACCCCCGGCCATTTAATTCTCAAATCCACACTTCTAGTAGTTGTAAAGAAGCTTCAGTCTTTGCCTTCTTTCAGTATTTACTTTTGTTTTAGGGAATAGTTGAGCCTTAGGGATACTGCGTGTTTGACTTAAACATCTGCAGGGTCATAGGCATCTGGCCTCTGGATCTATTTTGCTGTGCTCCTTCACTACCAAGAGCCTCTCCACCACTCACGTTACTTTGTTATTTAAAATGTTTTTTAAAATGTATTACTGGGGCTGGAGAGATGGCTCAGCAGTTAAGAGCACTGGCTATTCTTGCAGGAGACCCGGGTTCAAATCCCAGAACCCACATGGCAACTAATAACTGTCTCTAACTCCAGTTCCAGAGGATCCCATACCCTCTTCTGACCTCCTTGAGCATTGTATGACACAGGTGCACTTACATGCATGCAAGCAATACACCCATATGCATGAGATAAAAAATACTAAAAATAAAAAATAAATATGTATTACTAAACCATTACAACCTAGAAAAAGGTGTATGATAGATTGTTAAAAGGAACCAAGCAGATTAAAAGTAATATGTAGTTGGGCATGGGCATACACCTTTAATCTCAGCACTTGGGAAACAGAGGCAGGTGGATCACTGTGAGTTTGAGTGAGTCTGGTCTACATATTGAGTTCAGGCCAGCCACAGTTACATAGTGAGATCCTGTCTCAAAAACCAAAAGGAAAAAAAAAGATAGTATGCATACTGAAGATCAGTTTTTGTTTTTACTTTTTTTCCTTATATATTAGAAGAGGATTGAGGATTTCTGGTAACAATATTAATTAGATAATGAGAAGTTTACTTGTGTAGTTTTGGGCTATCTTCCGTCATAAATTATCTTTAGGACTAATGATCTTGAAAGAAAAATCAAAAGACTAAGTTTTTTTGTACAATTTTGATGCTTTGATAAAATAGGTATTTTAATTTCAGTGTCTTTTGAAATCTGTATTCCATTTGGCATAGTTATAATTATGGCATACCTGCATATAGCAGCATTATGCTCTATTTCTCACTTAATATTACTTTTTTTTTTTTGAGACAGGCTCTCATTATGTAGTCCTGGCTAGCCTAAAACAGATACCTGCCTGCCTCTGCCTCCCAAGATTAAAGGCATGTGTCACTGTGCCTGGCCTTTTCCAATCATTTTAAAAGTATGTATACTTCCCTTACATAGTGGTATATGTGCATACTAGTTTGTGGTCTACTTAGCCATTTACTACCACTGTTTCATGTTTCATTGTTTATTACCTCCACACCTGTCAACTTGAATAGTGTATATAATAGTTCCTGGTGTTAGTGTATCATAATGGGAGCTTCCCCTTACTTAATACTTGAGTTTTCAGGGGGTGTTTTTGTTTTTGTTTTTGTGGTCTTTTTGAGACAGGGTCTCTCTGTAGCCCTAGCTGTCCTGGAACTCACTATGTAGACCAGGCTGGCCTTGAACTCACAGAGTTCTGAGTGTTTAATCCCAGCACTCTGCCTCCTGAGTGCTGGGATTAAAGGCGTGCTCCACCACACCCGGCAAGTTTTCAGTTTTTATTCAAGAGATACTTTTGAGTGTATTTGCTCATTGCTGTAGTTAGCTCTGAGGATGTGGGGTGAGAGTTCATAGTTCAGTAATCTAATGAGGGAGATAGAGAAAAGGAAGATGGCAGAGGGCTGAAATAGAAGATTATAGGGAAGTTCACTTTAGCTCTAGTTACCAGGTAGGATAGCAGTGAGACTTAAGGATTAACATTCACCACGTGAAGAGTAAGAAAAAGAGCTTTTCAGATGATAAACAGCACATGCAGAGCCTCAAGGAAGGGGCTGGAGAGATGGCTCAGTGGTTTAAAAAAAAAACAAACATGTGGGTCTTGTATGCTATCACCATTGCTGAGTAAAATACTGTTACTCAGATTTGTAGTTGTTCCTGGAATATACATTGTTCAGAAGGGCATATTTTCATACACTCTTGGTAAAAGTGAACTATCAAACTTTTTCCTTTTTTTAGTGTTTTTTTTTTTTTTTTTAATTTTAATTTTTTTTTTTCTTTTTTGAGACAGGGTCTCCCTGTAGCTCCAGCTGTCCTGGAACTCACTGTGTAGACCAGGCTGGCCTCGAACTCACAAAGAACCACCTGCCTCTGCCTCCAAGTGCTGAGATTAAAGGCATGTGCCATCAAGCCCGACCCTTAAAAAATATTTTATTTATTTATTTTATGTGTACGAATGTATTGCCTGCATGTAGGTAAGTGTACCCGTGTCGTGCAAATCCCCTAGAACTGGAGTTACGGACAGTTGTTAGCTGCCATGTGGGTGCTGGGTCTTCTGCTAGAGCAACCAGTGCTCTTAACTGCTGAGCCATCTCTCCAGCCCCGTAAACAGTATCTTGAATGAACCCTTAAACAAAACAAAATCTGGGGCTGGAGAGATGGCTCAGGCGGCTATGAACTGTCCTTAACTCCAGTTCCAGGGGAATCCGAAGCCCTCTTCTGACCTCCACAGTATTGCACAACATGGGTGTGCATACATACATGTAGGCAATATATTCATACACATAAAATAAAAATAAAATATTAAAAAAAAAAAACAAAGCAAAATCTGGTTGTACTTATTTTGCAATAAGAGACTGAACTATCCTCTCTCTCTCCCCCCCAATCTCTCCCTCTCTCTTACTGTGTATATTTCTGTGTATGTGAATGTATGTGTCAGGGTGCACAAGTGCCATGGTGTGCATGAAGGTCAGAGGATAACTTATGGGAGTTGGTTCTCTCCTTCCACCATGTGAGTCCCAGGTATCAAACTCAGGTCATTAGGCTTGGCAGCAAGTGCCTTTACCCACTCAGTCACCTCACCAACCTCATATATTCTTTTTTTTTTTTTTAATATTTTATTATTTTTATTTTATGTGTATGAGTGTTATGCCTGCATGTAAGTAAGTGCACCTGTGTTGTGCAGTGCCCTTGGAGGACAGAAGAGGCTGTTGGATTCCCTGGAATTGGAGTTACAGATAGTTGTTAGCTGCCATGTGGGCGCTGGGATTTGAACCCGGGTCTCCTGCAAGAACAATCAGTGTTCTTAACCGCTGAGCCATCTCTCCAGCCCCAAACCTTATTTATCCTTAATAGTTCATCTAAATATTTTAGGGGTGGTATTTCCTTCTAGGAACTTGACCAAAATGCCACTGAGAAAGTCCAGGCAATGTTCACAGCCATTGATGAGCTCTTGTATGAGCAGAAGCTGAGTGCGCATACCGAGAGTCTGCAGAAGGAGTGCCAGCTGTGGACATCCAGCTTTCCTCACCTCAGGTAGGGAAGCTTTCTGTTGACCAAGATGAAACAGAAACAGTGCAGGTCCAAAAACCATGAACTCTGAAATCTTTATGAGCATTTTTAAATGGCCATGATTTTAATGAATGTAAATAAGACCATGTGATATAAAGCCTCAGCTGAAAGAAAACTCAAGTTGGTGGGGGTTTCTTGAAATTTCCATAATTCCCAACATGTCATCATAATTGAGTAAAACTAATTTTTTTCTAATGTGTGTGTGTGTGTGCATGTGCGTGTATACACAGCATTTCATATACCCTAGGCTGGCCTGGAAATTTTGATGTAAGCTAAGGATGACTTTGAACTCCTCTACCTCCAAGGGACTGGGTTTGCAGATGTGAGCCACCACACCTAGCTGAGGAAAACTACTTTTGCACCAGTAGCTGAAGTCTGAGTATCAGAGTGGTCCAGAAACTTTCTTTCGCAGTATGATCAGAAAATGTATTTGTTTAGATCATTGTCTATAATTAAATTTTCACATATACTTGAAAGGAGACATCCCTGAGAAACCACAGTAGTACCACTTACTACACATACTTATCTTTCATAAAGCTTCATGTACTTAAGAATATGACTCAGGAGCTCCATGGGATGGTGCACGCCTTTAATCCCAGCATTTGGGAGGCAGAGGCAGATGAGCTCTGTGAGTACTAGGCCAGCCTGGTCTACATAGCAAGTTTCAGGCAGGCTGGGGCTACAGGGAGATCCTGCCTCATAAAAGACCAAAAAATAAATAAAGAATATGACATATGACTCAGTTTTCACTAATTTGGCTAGACTTCATATTTTTTGGAGTGTTGGGGATTGAACCCAGGGTAGACAAGTGCTCTACCACTAAGCTACATCCCCAACTCATCCTTGGACTTTCCTTTTAACTTATGGGCTATGATTTTATCTTTTCTATCTACACTGTACTAGAGTACATATGTAGAGTAAGAATTCACATTTCTTCTCAAGAATCATAATCAGTATCTGACTAAGGACATATTGAATTTCTATGCAGACATCAAATTTAAATGTCTAGATTTTTGTATGCATGCCTAGTAAAGGTCCTTAATTGTGTCTGTTTCTTCATTTCGAAGGATTCTGGGTCAGCAGATAATGACTCCAAGTGAAGGTTACGGGTTGTACCCTAGGTCCCCTTCTGCTATTTCAGCTTCACATGAAGCATCCTTGTCTCAAGAAAGAGATTCTACTATGTAAGTATTTTATTAAGCAAGTACTTCAGTATCTGAGTTTGCAAGTAGTGATTCTTTTAAAAGGATAACGGTATTAAAGAACAGAATTTGGGTGTGAGAGTGTGTAGGGGTGCTGCTGCTGTTTTGCCAATTTTTGTTGTAAGAGATGTCAGGGAAATATGCCATGAATATGTTTTGGGTTTTTTTTTTTTTTCAGTTTAACCTCTCAGGTTGCTGTAAAATAAAATTATGAACCACTAAGACTCACTTTAAAAATTATATCAATTTTTGCCACATTACATTGAAAACTTCCAATAGCTTCCCAATGACTTTAAGATGAAATCTAAAATTATAAGCTGGCTCTCCCTCCGTCTCTGTTTTTATCTTCTGCCGCTTTCAGTCATCCTGCTAGTGCCAGGTATCTTTCATATCTTCAGCACACTGAACCAGGGACTCAGTTCTGTTCTGGGGATTCTCAGGCTTGGAGGAAGCCAAAAGAATAAGCAGCATGATAATGAGATTACTTTTCTAGGTCTGACCCCTGGCAACAGGCCTGGACTAAAATACACAAAGAACAGACTGTAGTATAAATTGAGATTATGGCTGCAAACGGAGTTGCCTATCAACCAGTATTTAGGTCAAAATGAGATTCCCCAAAGTTAAAATATTAGAAGTTGGAGAGGGTATGTTTGGACCTCCTCCATCAGGGTAGCTGCTCAGAGCTCAGCAGACCATCAGAGAGTGCCAGGTTCTGGCCTCTAACTACCAGAGGGCCTGAGAACCCAAGGGACAGCCCCCGAATCCTGCCTCCACATGGTGGTGAGCTTCCCCTAATTGGGCCATATCATCCCCCACCTGGGATTTTGTGAGGCCCCTCCCAAGGCCCCAGGGCAGATCTGGCTTTGCTAGGCTAAGGCTGGGATCCTAGCAGATGGGCCAGAGAGTGCCAGAGTTCTGTCCCCCAGACCCCTTCTGGCATAGGGTTGACAAAGCACAGGACTGCCTGAGAGAGCCTGGATCCTGCCTCCATGTGGTGAAGGAAGACTGAGTGTACCTGACTGGAACCTGAATTGGGCTTCTGTGGGTACCCCTGAATAGGTGATCTGAAGCCATCAGTGTCCTCCAAAATAAACCTGAGAGGACCTAAACCCTGTATCAACCAGCTTTACATAATCAATAAAGAAAGGATCTAGGCACCCTGATAAAACAAACAGAAGCATACTTCAACTGAATTCTCATATCAGAGTCATAAACAACAAAAGAAATTCACATGCCAAAACCACAACGAAAGAATAATAAAGTGGAAAGCCAAAACACTACGTCCCCAGCAAAGCCCACCAATCCTGTAGAAGAGTTCTACAAGGAGAATCCCCTAGAGATAACCCAGGACACTGAATTTAAAAGAACAATCATACAACATGATCAAGGAATTCAACGAATTTAAAGAACACGGGAACAAAGAGCTAAAAGAAGATAGGGATTGGCCGGGCGTGGTGGTGCACGCCTTTAGTCCCAGCACTTGAGAGGCAGAAGCAGGCAGATTTCTGTGAGTTCAAGGCCAGCCTGGACTACATAGTTCTAGGGCTACAGGGAGACCCTGTCTCAAAAAGACCAAAAAAAAGGAAAAAAAAAAAAAAAAAAAAAAAAAAAAAGGAAGATAGGGATAAACTTCTGAATGAATTCACAAAAGAGAAACATTGAAGAAAATTCAGGCAGAAATGCAGAAATGAAGAAGGAAGTGCAAAACTCAATTAAATATCAACACTGGAGGATAAAGTTGACGTATTGGACCACTCAAGCAAAGATTAAGAAATTTTTTTAAAAACACAGGAATGGAATATGCAAGAGATGTGGGATACCATGAAAAGACCAAATTTACATATCATAGGCAAAAGGAAGGAGAAGAATTTCAGGTTAACGGTACTGACCAGATCTTAAACAGGATTGTACAAGAGAATTTCCCAAAATTAAGGAAGGACGTCCCCATACAAATACAGAAAGCACATAGAACACCAAATAGACAGGATCAAAAAAGAAACTCGCCACAACATAATCATAGTAAAAACACTAAATGTACAGAATAAAGAGAGAATACTGAAAGCAGCAAAAGAAAAACAAGTCACATACAAAGGAAAGCCCATCAGAACTACAGCTGACTTATCATTGCAAACTATGAAAGCCAGAAAAGCCTGGGCCGAGGTATTTCCAGTTCTACATGACAATAGATGCCAGCCCAGAATACTATGCCCAGCAAAAATGTCTGTTATAGTTGAGGGGGAAAGAAAAATCTATGACATGAATAGCCTGAAAGAATACATGTCCACAAAACCAGCCCTTCAAAGAATACTTGAAGCAATACAGAGAGCAGAGAG